AATATCACCATACCGTTGGCAGAACCTTCGCTTCTGGTCACTTTTCCAACTGTCCCAAATGCTCCGTAGTTCTTGAACATTATTCTGTTTTAGGCTGACAGAAGAATAGCCAACCAGATCTGACATAGTTTCCTTACAAATTGTCTCCCTTTTCTTTCTGAGTCTTTTCGGACCATAGTCGGACCTCGGCGTTTTTCACCTCTTGCATTATAACCCCTTTGTCCATTAATGCAGATTATTTGTGTAACAAACACTTTTTTGTGGATCAATCACCTCTTTTTATGATGCAAATGATAAAAAAATAAATAAACATGAAAGAAAAACCAGTTAGTAAAATAGAAATAATAATAATAAAAGTAAAAAATGATCACATAAACTGCATGCTTTAAATAGAAAGCAATTTAAACATTTTAGGTTTTGAAATGGAGTTTCGGGGTGGGCTCTAATTCCCTATATTCTCTCGGTTTAAGTTCTAAAGAAAGTACCTGAGTTCTCCTTGCTGGTGCCCCCTTGGGCTTGTCAGACCCTCAGTCCTAAGCCCATTACAAGCTTATGTGGACCAAATTAAACTCGAGAGGATACATTACCTTATGTCCATACGAATAATAAATTCACACGAAGACATAAGGCATATGAATCCCGAAGGTTACTTGTTAGGCCTATACAGAGAATAAATTCTCACGAAGGCGTCGCTTTCACCTCCACTTAACATAAAGGTTGCTTGAGATGAAAAATGTTTAATAAGCTGAAATCATTAAAAAAAATCAGTACAACTATTTATTTGAAAAATAATCAAAGGTAAGTAATAAGGATCGAACAATTAAATTAAAATTTAAACATACAATTTTCACTTAAGAAGACAACTGGAAATTAGCCTTAGCTTGACTCACTTACCTATCCCCAGCAGAGTCGCCAAGCTGTCGTAACCCTCCTTTGAGTGGGCTCGTAATTGAGCTTCGACTTAAATAAATGGGTTAGAGTCGCCACCGATCATTTATTTTTAAAAACAAATAAAAATTAGGTTGATCGGACACCTCAGTTTACTCTCTTACCTGATCTGGATCTTACTAGAAATATGTCGGGTTCGGGAGTCGGTTACAATCAAGGAAGGATTAGCACCCTTGTACTGCCCTTTCGGTATTAATTTAATTTCCAGTTGTCTTAATTACGAAAATTAAAAGTTAAATTAAAAAATAAAAAAATATATCTAAATTACTTACTTTTAATCGATTTAATGTAACCCTAAAAGGTCAAAAAGAGGTTAGAAAAAAATAAAATATTGAGTGATTGAAAAGGAAGAATTAACAAAAACTAATTTTAATACTTTAAATAAAGAAAAAAAAGAAATACGTACATACAAAAAAACATGGACATAAAATTATCATAATGAAATGCCAAAAACAAATAGAACAAAAACACGAAGGGAATAAGAAAACGAGTTAAAGAAAAAGTTAATTAGATTAAAATAAAAATAAAATGTTAATTGCAAAATCAAATACAAACCAAGACCAATTAAAAATTAATTAAATAAAAATAAAAAAAACAAAAAAAAAAACAATTATTGACGGATCAAGAACTCGTAAAGTGTAGTGGCTTTTTAAGAAATAACCAAATGAAAATATGTAATAAATAAAAAGGACCAAATTGCAAAGAAATAAGATAAAGTGTCGGGCTAAATTTAAAAAAGAATGTAATAAACGGCCGAAATGAATTCGTATAAAACCTTGAGGGGCTGGCAATGAAATTTGACCCAACCCACGACAAAACACTCGGGTCTTATGGGTCTCCAAATGGGTCGGTCGAGTCAAGTATAAAACCCCAAAAATTGGAAACATATCCCATTTTTCCTTCTCCTTCAAAAACGAATCAAATCTCTTTTATATTTTTTCTCTCTAAAACTTTTTCGTGTTCTTTATTCTGGGAAGAACATTCAAATGAGGTTCTTATGAAACCCAATTTCTGGCCGAGCTCCGCCTCGCCGACCGTCGTGAACTGACGACGATTGCCGTCCATCAACAGCAAAACCCTAACTTTCTTATACCATTCAAAAGCTTTCGTTCCCCTCTTTCCAAATCTCCTCATCATTTTCCTCAAAAAGCCTCGAGGAGGGCCAGGTTTAAGGAAAGATCTTTCGGAAACCCCCCCTTTCGATCATCGTCTTCTCTCATTTGTGAGGTTTTTTTGAATCAAAAGAAGAAGAAAAATGAACCCAAACAAATTTGCAAAACAAACATGCAAAGGCCGAATTGTTATAGGTAAAGAAAAATACATTTTTTATTGACTTCTTTTCGAGTTTACAAATGTTGTTTTCCTCTCGATTTCTTGTGTTTTTCTTTTTGATTTACATGAATTTATAGCCTTAGAATTCTAGTTAGACTAAAATACTAGATTATTTTTTGATGGATTTTCACGAAATCCACGATGCGCTGGATGATTCGGAAAGTGGGTTTGTTGCTGCTGGCGTGAAGACTCTCCAAGAATCCTCGGTTTGACCAGCGGTTCACTCCTTGAACGATGGATGTGTCGCGTTGAAGGAAAGCAACGAACCCTAATTCCAACAGGGCCTTGAAACACGGACTTGCTTTCGGGTTGAATTGGGCCTACACATAAAACAAAACAAAAAATGTTAACTAATAACATATAGTAATAGCATGTGTAAATATATAATGATACATATACATATACTATATAATATGAATATATACGACACAATATATACACTATATAATGTAATTATATATTATAAATATATAATATGTATGTACCACATAATATAAATGAGCAACATACATAACATAATATATACTATACAAAATAATATAATAATATGTTTATAAAATATAAACCATATATTATATAAATAAGGTCGGATGAAAATGTGTGTCTACAATAATTAATTTCTTTGAGTAAATATTGAACTGTAAAAAATTTCAAGAAACAATAATTGCTGAAGCGTATATTTTGGGTTCAAAATCGGGAATGTTTAAGGAACGAAAACTAATTTAAGGTTAAGAAAAAGCGTAATTAAAATTATAATATTACTAGTTGAACGCAAACCAAAATGTTAGTTTTTTAATATTTTCAATCGTCTTTTTTAACCTTAAATTAAACTTCCGTACGGTAGAACTACCCTTCAAAATCTTAAAGTGATTCTTCATCACTTTACCCTTATCATTGACTAATATTTGTCAGTAAGCTTGGAATTTTACATGAGCATAAATTCTGATGTTTCTGAATTCGCCTTGTTTTATCGTTGAAAAGGTGCATTCTTTTTCCTCCGGTTAGATGTAGAGATGTTTTTTTTAATAAGGTTCTTTTTGATGTTTCGTTTTGTATGTTCCGGTAACTTAAATCATACAAAACCTTTAAAAAAAATCAGCATCGGCTTCTCTTCACTTTCTTCAGTCAAACTCATCTTTCCTACTCACTTCAAATATAATTCAAATTTGCACATCTCAATATTTCTTCATCTCCTACATTTCACTCTCTTTTCCAGAGCTATTTTTCCATTTCATTAAAATGGTTCAGAATAAAAAATATGCAAAATAGAGACTTTACCTGGTATAATAAGAATTTTAATCCTCCAAACTTATGTAATATATCAATTTGGTCATAATTCAAAATAATTCAGTAAATTTAACCCTTTCTATTTAAGAATTCTATCATTTTAGTCTTGATTCTCCTAATTGCTTGTTCTTCTCCTAAAAATCTGTTATTTTCATGTTATTTTCGTGATATAACAATAGTTTAACAATAATTCATAGCTCCTTGAATGCTTTCTTGTCTTTTCTTTGCTTAATTCTGCTAAACTTGATATATCCAATATTCTTCTTCTTTATTAGTCATATTCCTTTTAGCATACAATTAACAAGTTAAAAACAACCATATCAAAATCCAACTTATATATATTAATGAATTAAGAGAGATATAGTATATGATTAAATTATTAATGGCATATAAATATCTTATCAAAAAGCTAAATTAAGGTAATTATTCTTTATAAATTTAAGAAGAAAAATAACATAATAAAACGAGATAATTATCATTACTATGTGACATAATATGACCTAATGGGACTAACAAATGCCGAAATTATCAATAAAAGTAGGGTTGGTCCATATGGACTAAAGTGATTCTAAGTCTATCTCTGAAATATAATCATTGTTAGTCTAACCACGTCTACCACTGTTAGCACCAAGACAACTTTGAGTGAGAGCCCAACTCAAGTTATAGCGTCTCACTCCTAATTTTTAGAGAATCAAAGAATATAATCCGAAGTTGTAAACTACAACTCAACTCTCACGATTATAATTGAGTTATCGCAAAGCTTTACGCTAAGTGGAGATTTAGCTAAACATGGATTGGACCATGCTTAGCATTTAACAAAGAAGAAGATAAAAAGAAAAAGAAAATAGAACTTTAAATTAAACCAAGGAGAATAACAAATTCCAATAGTTATGAAGTGACGGGCTTTCTCACCCAAATAGGGCATCGGAAAAGTACATTTTCCGTTGTGTTGCCTTTGCTATTTTATTTTTACAACTAGGGTGATTATTACAATACAAAGGTGAACTTCTTTGTGTTCCATGAACCTTAAGAAGATTCCAAAAGTGCAATCTGTTTTCAACTGAAGACTCCAAGACTGCTATGCGTCTTCAACCTTCTCATATATTTCAACTTTCCGTGCTCATTCTTGGAATCTTCTGAAGACTCTTTGCACTACTGGAGTCTTCTGAAGTCGCATGGATCACTATACATCTTCTCCTTTATATTGTAACAATCGCCATAGTCTAGAAAATAATACTCAAGACGGAATATTTTGGGAATTATTTTTCTCAAGAACATTATCTCAACCATTTTGCCGAAGTGATGATTGATGACTATTGTTGAGATTCAAATAAATCTATTATTTATTTATTAGAGGTAGAACAAAATCAATAACACTATAAAAAAGGGGGTTTCCTTCCGTTATATAAGAATGATGAGAAGAAAAAACACATTTAATCATAAATGACACTGTCAAGGAATTCTATTTTACCCTTTCACTATAATTCACAGCTTACTCTTGAGATCTTCACAATCTTAATCATGTGGTTGTATAGTTATAAATGAGACATACTGTGAAAATTTAAATCTAATGCTATAGTTTGTAACTTGCAATGGTGCCTCAATTCGAGTACTTACAAGGTCCTATGTACGCCTTGCGGATCCATAGGAGTTGTCGCTGGTGCCATCGAGTTTTGTTCTTGCTTTCCTCCGTTATCTTTCTGTTTTCTCGTTTCCAATCTAAATATATGGTATCCCCCATTCATGGTGGACCTTTTATGATGATTACTTAAACATGCACGAAGTGAATTTGAATACAGAGACTTGAACTTCAGGTTTCTCTTCGAGAAATGGTTCTTAGCTTGCTTGTCTTTTGAAGAACGGTTTCTGATAGATAGGAGTCTCTCGTTATTGTTACTTTCGATTTCTATGACTCGGGCTTCCCACTTCAACTGCCTCGTTAGAGCTCGAGCCGATTCGATAAGCGAAGCTGTGTCATGGATAATTATCCAACCCTGCAACCAGCATCAATTGAATCACTTATTAAAACAAAACAATTCCATTGAAGTATAACAATTGTAAAGCTGTTGGAAACATATGTAAAGCTGTTTGCATACTATCAGTGTATATGACTGATGATCTTTTAATCTAAAGCCATTCATACAGTCTGATTTGATAATTGATAGCCTGGTTTTAGTACCTCGGGACGAAGCAACCGGTCTATCTCGGTGAATATATGAAGCATGCTGCACCTCCAACGTTGACTAAACTCAAGAGATAGAAGTCCTTCTACATGTACCATATCGTAAGTTCTAGGATATGTTGGAAATGCTTCACACCTGAAAGTAATACAAATATATCATAAAACAAATAAAGCTTCAAACAAAAAGGAAAGTCAATTGTTTCTTTATTTGAACCAGGGAAAGTACACAAATGGAGAATCACCAGTCATGTAATACACCAAAATAACCCCGGTCAAGAATCAGGGGAAGGTAGTTAGGTCTAATTGTCGGGACTACATTCATCACCCAAACAGACTTCCCGGCTTCCAATAATGCAGCATTTAAACCACCATAGTGGGCGTTCATGTCCAACACATTCCTGACCATGTTATTAGGTGGAGAAGGATCTTCGTCGCTGGGTCTCTTCGGATGGTCGGAGAATATTAGTGGTGACAGAAGAGACCAATAATTATGAACAGTTGTCTTATAATCTGCAGTATCCTCATTTAGTTCTTCAGAGTGAAGACCTGGTAAGATACCAAAAAGATTTGCAAATAGATTATCAGAGGGGCAGTCAGAAATTTCTTTAACCATTCATTGCTTGTCATGATGGAATAATTACTTGTAACATAAGCATGCGGAGAACATTGGATTACCATATATAGCTAGTTCAGTCGGGTTTAAGTTAGACCTAGAAGGCCAGGTTGCCCTCTCCTCGATAGGAACCCATCGGCGGCTATGCATACCCCCTATGCAGTTCTGAAGGGGTCGATAATATGGAGACTCAAGATCTTGCCCTTTGCTACATATAGAAGGGCCCGAACCAGGCTTCCTGAACACAAATGATTCACATTGTCAAAATGAATTCAGTTTTGAAGAATATGAAGATAAATAAAGAAAACAGCCTTACCGAGAGTTATAACAACTTTTTTTACTGGTCTTTTTCCACACAACAGTTTCATCTTGTTGTGACATCAATTCCCAGCAGAGACTTTCCGCAAAATCTCGAACATAGTTCCATGTTTTCTGTTTCTCTTTGTCACGAAGAGAATTGTGAACATTGGTAAGAGGTGAAGTCCACACAAAGTATCCACCAGGCTTTAGAACTCTATCAACTTCAATCAAGAAAATACCGTCTGCGGAGAACATGAAACGTAAAAGTTCAATTTACACTAGCTCAAACACAAGAATGAAAAAATGTTGAAAAAGTCACATATGTGAGTTGAAGTATGTTTTACAAGTTATAATTAGTAAATAATATAATATCCGGTAAAGGTATGGGAAATTTTCAGAACTTGTAATGGAAAAAGTCAGGCTGGATATGGTCTTTAATGTATTATTTTCAATTATCTATCGGTTGGCAGGTAAGAACTGCCAACAAATGCATTGAATGGCAGTCAAAAGGAACCTTTTTTTTCTTCTAGGAATTTATCATATACAGAACATTTAACATTTTAAATAAGCAAAGTTGGAAGCTGTTATACCTTTCTTATCCCAGTCAATACCGCAGCGTGCACAATGCAGCAAATCAAAAGAAAGAGATGGATATGGTAACTGTTTTGAACTGAAAGAACCAATCATTGCGGGAAGGCCCCTTTCGAGAGTGAGTTGAACTTGACTGCCGGAGGACTCGTAGTTCGCAATGCACATGGTTAAAATCTGTTCGGAAAAGAGATGTGCTCCAAAGCTGCCATAACCACATCCTATATCCAAGATGGTTCGAATCTGCACGGGTAGCCTTATATGATACGCAAAAGAAACTAATGGAATCACGAGACCTTGAAATACCAGTCTTGTTCTAAGTAGCTATTAAGAATGGTTAAAGCTAATTCATCCCATATTGCCAACATCGCAATGTGCAACAAGCCAAAAGGTGGCAATTAAATGTATCATTAACAATTTGCTTATAGTAACAAGTAAGAAATGATAACATCAAATCGTATGTGAACTAGCAATATAACATTACTAGAATAAATTAGATGAAGTAAAAATCATGAATAATAGAACGAAACAAGGTAAGCATGTATGTTGAAGGAAAATTCCGCTTACCCCAGCTTGTATGAAATTAGATTCATTTCTCAGTCCAATCATCTCAGCGATCTGATGGGAATATTCTTCCACACCATCAAACATGAGTGACGCCGAACGGAAGGAAATCTGCTCTTCCTCCAACATCATCATCCTGTAATTGAATAAATCAAGTGAGTAGAAAAAACACTTCTGTAAGAAGGAAGTTAATGTGGAAGGTGACTGACAAGTGAAACACCCACCTCTTGGTTAAACTGCCCGAGGAAAATACCTCTTGACCGGTGATTTTAACATTTGCAACCCAAATAATCTCTCTCCCAGTCGGCCACCTAAGAGGAATTTTATAGTTCAAAGGTGGGAGAACTAAACAACTTTGCCTCGACCCTTGTCGACATACTTGATCATACTCGTTACCGTCTGAAAAACCCGAATCGAGATTCCTTGAAACATTAAAACAGGGAATATAATTCTCCAACTCCTCCGGGCAGAATTCTAGTTCTTTCATCTTTGAAGTACCTAAAGAAAGCTCCCCTATATCCCACAAATCTGAAACAAGCTGCTCTTGCAGTCTCCTATAACTATGAAATATATAACCTCTAGATGATGTTGAAATGGAAAGTGTCCACCAAAATGTACCAGTGACAGCAAGAATCACAATCATAACTAAACTTGACTTCAAAAATAGCATTGTTAACCTATGGCGGCTTCTCAGAGCCCCAACAGTGAAAGGATCATATGCAAAACCATTGTCAGTGGCATCATATTTTGAGGGAGAATTATCTGAAAAGGGTAGCCAAAAAGGAAACCTGAGGGAAGAATGATTTCTATCCAATTCCTCCTTTTCAGTTTTATCTTTCAATTGTGAATCCAATAGATCATAGTTGCTGCCTGAGATCCGTGTTGCAGATACACCTCGATGCAGAGGCCTTGACATTTTTTTTGTAACCTGAAATCCCCAACAGTCAGCCAAAGGAGAAAAATAAGTGTTAGCTTTCAAGAATTAGTAAAATCCCACTGAAATTCCTCTCCGAAACAAGCTATTCCACTCAATAAAACATCAAATATTAATAAGTACAAAAACGAAACACTTCACTGAGATAAGATTGAAATGAGATCTTTCGTCTCAGTTTTAAGATTCTAGATCCATAAACCCTGCTGAAGTTAAACTCTTAGAAAAGCAAATTTTGAAGTAGAAGTTGATTTTTAGAGCTGTTCAAAGACTGAAACAGCAAAAGAACGTAAGATTCGAAGGAAATAAAAGTAGAAATATTGAGTGTAAGCACATTTCCATTAAAAATCACTTGTTTTCAATGAAAAATCCACTTCTCTCTTTGTTACCCGATTCTAAAATCTAATGAAAACCCAGATTAAAATGATCAAAACCCATTCCGGATCAATCACTTGAAAAATCGAAGTCGTGTCAAATTGAGAAATACCTTTGTTTGTAATAGCAGAGCTAGAAATCGAAAGATAACGTAAAACAAGCCTTGTCAGCGAAGTTTCATCGAATGGGGATTTAAGAACTTTATCCTAGCATTTTGAACTACAGAAAACGATTGCAAGTTGCCTTTGATAATGTAAGAGTGTTAAGTAAACGAATTTTCTATCGATCCAATCACGACAGAGATCGTGAAAAAGCTGAAAATTTAACTCTTTTTACAATCGTAATAATCATTCAAAGTTAAAAAAACGGCGAGAAAGCATGAATTAAATACAGACTAAGGTATTTATTTAATAAATGAAGATTGCATATTTAAAAAAAATATATGAAAATCATTTCATCCGAACTTTTACCTTCAGACAGTATTCTCAGCTATATATGCGCTGAAGAGTCACCATTACAGCTCGAGCTACCCAAACTGTACATTTTAATTATTTTATTTAATTCTATTGTATAAAAGTAAGTATTTAATTATTTAAAGAATTTCTCAAATGCTAACTATGGTCTTATAGATTAGATCTACTTTTTTTCTTTTCTTTTTTTATTCGACCAGTTTGTGACTTTGAATTACTGTTGGTTAAATATCAAAAGGGCATCTATTCTTGGTAATGTGAAATTTTAGAGTAAACAAAAACGAATTTCATTAAATTTTAAGTCCTGTACTAATTTTATTATTAAATTTTAAATTGTTTTAATTTTAATATTATATTTTATTTAAGACATTAAATTTTAATTTGCATACCAAAATAATATCCATAGAAAATTATCAATTTCTCCCATCATTGAAGTTGATTAATTGTTTATTGTCAATTGTCGGTATTATGATAAGAATAGTACTAAAATGTTCAAATTTTAGTCAATCCTCTTTCTTCTCTTTGGATTAATTTTATATGAAATTTACTTAAAAGCGATAAAAATATATTTAAATGTTATATATGTTTTTAAGGACTAAAACTATTATTATATCATATCTTATCATAATTTTATTAAATTGTTATGATTAATGATCAAAATAAAAATAGTGCCATAATTGGTGAGGAAGAATGATCGGAATACTACAATATAATCGAACAAGTTTTGAGTTGCTACTTTTAAAAATGTACAAATTTCGAGAAAACGAAGTTCAAAACAAATGGATCTTAAGGCGAACTCAAAACAATGCAGACTCGAATTCATGGCTTTGTCATATGTGCATGTAGATCTAAGTAGAAGACGACGAAAATATTGTTTATTGTAAAACTGCAGTTTGACACTTTGGCTTATGCCGGAAGGTCTGGATTTTATATATTATGCATATTTCTTGATCCAGATGGGTCCGCTGTTTTATTTATTGTCCAACAATCACACCGCATGATCTAAACTTTCCATCTTCTGGACGGCATTTTATCAAACAGTATTCAAACATTAGTTTCACATTTTCATTTCAGCTCTACTTCTAAAATTTTCCAAATTGCAACTTGTGAATCGAAATTGTAACATTCAATGTCATCCCTAGCTAATAGCCTAAAATCCCACAATTTTGTGTTGATCTTGCTAGAATCAAGCACCAACCTAGATAAAGTCAATGAAATGAGACTCCTCAAATCTTAGTGGACAATCGGCTATTTCTACTAGGCGGATGGCATATTTAAAGCCCGCAATACATATGTGAAAATGCCCCAATGAAATGACAATAATAATTGCGATAATTGAGAATCAATATGTAAAATGATTAAGGTCCCATTCACATTTATGACTTACTTTAAGCCTCTCAACAATTCCTCCCATTGCATGTGATGTGTTCAGAAAATGTGGGAGGACCATCCTATTCCATCTTTGGGTGCTTCATCTCATTTCTTATAAATCTTTTTAATTTCGTCTCGTCCCTGTATATGATCATATATGTTTATCGTGATTGTATTTGTAATAAATTTGATCGATCTATTATGATAAACACCAGTTTAATATAGACCGTAGAGCTGATTTAATGAAGGCAAACAAGCAACCCATACCGATAACGTTGATTTGCTACTTCTGACATTTAGATGTGATAGAAAGTTAAATGAATTGGATTTTCTATATCTGAATATTTAGATGTGATGATAAATTTTGAAGATCAATGCATGTAATTCTTTCATTCAATTCTTAGGCCGCAATGTTCTAGTCATTCTCAACCGCAGGGAAGACTGATGGCGGCATAAAAAAAACATTTGGGTGAGAGGTGTCGAAATGATTTTTTTAAAAATAAATTTAATTTTTAAAATCTGGTTTTTAAAAGATCTCATCTCGAATATTTTAGTGACATGTTAATAATAGAATGTGGTTCGAAGACTCGCCACCAATATTTGATTAGGGTGTGATTGTGCACCCAAAAACGTATTTTTCATTTTAATAAAAATATTGATTTTAATTAAAACAACAAAATTGAGGTATGCGTTACCAAAATTTGAGTTTGAGAGTCAGTTACGCGTGGGATAGATTAGCACCCCCACAATGCCCTAAATCAGTACCTAGTCGATTAATTAACTGTCTTTGCAATGAAATTTATGAGTTCGTATTTAATTTAATTTAAGATATCATACAAATAATATTCTTTGAATTTTAGAATGAAACACAATAATATTTTATTATTTCCTATTGAGAATAATCAACCTCTCATGCCTTAAAGTAGTCGATTCTTACCCCAATCAAAATAAAGGAATATTATACTTCCATCCCCAAATTCATTATTAATTCCAAGTTTAAATGCACAAATAAAAATAAATTTAAGATAACAATAAAACGCTCTTTGAATTTTAGGAGGGAAAAAGGAAATATTTAATTATCTTCTATCGAGAAGAAACGACATCTCATGCTTTAAAACAATCATTTCTTACTCCAATCAAAATAAATAATTACTATTTCCTTCTAAGATTTGATATTAATTCGAGAGAAAACAATAATATCTAATTATTTTCAATCGAGAATAAATGATCTCTCATGCCTTAAAGCAGTTATTTATTACCCAAATTGAAATGAAGAGATATTACTATTTCGTCCTAAAATTAAATATTAATCCGAGAGAAAACAATAATATCCAATTATTTCTAATCGAGAATAAATGACCTTTCATTCCTTAGAGCATTCATTTATTACTCTAATCAAAATTAAGAGATGTTACTATTTCCTCCTAAAATTCAATATTAATTCAAATGTTATTATTTTGAAATCCCATTGAAAAATACATGCAAAAATAAAACAAATTAAAAGCATACATCAAGCAAGTACAATTAATTATTTATTTTACCAACCATTAATGAGAATAAGGATGCTCAATTATTTACATACATCGAGACAGGGCCATAGATTCGATATAACAATCTTTTATAGGTGAATTTAATTAAAAGAACATAATCTTTTTCTCAATCCCAAATTTTAATGTAATCGATTTTATTAGTGGTTTCACTTAATGGGACACACTTTCATTTTAAAATTATCGAAAGTAACTTTCTTATACGTTATGACAGTCACTTCACAGCAATCTTAAAATGAATGGATATTCCCTTAGTCAAATTATTTCGATCGAATCAAGAAATGTTTGTGAGGTTTCATATAATTTTGTATGCAATTTAACTAAAGGATGCCACATAGAATAAAATGAAGTATATACATGTCTTAGAAAATGAAAACATAAATATAAATCTATGCATATCATACACCTACATATAAAACAATAAAATATATAATACATAACTATATACATAATCACCATATAAACAATACGCCTTTAAAATACTATGTCATGTAGACATATTTATATGTGGTATAGTATTTACATTCATGTAATATAATCTATAAATATTACAAATATAAAGTAACGTGCATAAAATAAAAAAGCACTGACCAAATAAAAACATAACACCTAAAGTCTAAAAATGAATGAAATTGTAAATAAACAGATTAAATTCTAGAAACAACACGAACATGAACAACACTGCAATATGTGATTAAATTGAACACAAAGCAAATAAGTAAATTAAAACATGAAACTTTCAAATTAAAAGGCCAACTCACAAATAAGCAAACACATTTAAGGATGAAAATTAAATGATTATGACATTCATAGCTCAAAGTAATAAGAACAAGATTCAAATAAGGACTACAATGAGATTTTTCAGAATTACAAGCCCAAAATTAAAATAAAAAAGACTAAATAACTAAAAGTGATCGAATTGTAACATGTGTGAAATAATAGGCCAAAATTAGAATCTCTAAAAACCTTCAAATAGGGACTAGAACGATACGTAACAAACCCAGAGACCCTACTCGTGTAATTTACCCATACACAAAACTCAAAAACCCTAAGACCCCTTGAATGGGATTTTCGGCTGAACCCTTCCCCATATTCAGTTTATAGCTGTTTATTCTCCCTTCTCTCTACTTCCTTATTTTTTTAATATCAACTGATGGCCACGAACCGCCGTGGCCACCACCATACACTGCTCCAAACACCCCGCTAAAACTAACACTAAACCCTCCCTAACTCAAAACCGAAACCCAAATCAACCAAAACCACCCAAGCTGACACCCAAACCTAGGTTCTAAAGTCAGATCCCTAAGGTAAAAGATTACTTTCAACGTTGAGACTCTGGTGACACCGACGGTTGCTTCTTCGAAGAAAAGGAATTCTCTTTTCTCCATTTTTTTTGATTTTTTTTGAAAACTATCTCTGTCCTTTTCTTTGATTTTTTAACTAAACCCCTTGATTTTTTTCTTTATGTCTTTCTTTCTCTTCCCCCTCTTTTATGTTTTTCTCTTATGTTCTTATCTCCATCTTTGCGTGTTTGGTCGGTCTAGAACCATAAGGAAATGATTTCCCTGAAAAATCATTAAAATCGAATCCCCTTATGAGTAAATATGATTTTTTAACAAGTTTTGAATGAATTTGGTAAAGGAGGAAGAGTGAAGGTAGTGGATTATTTGGTGGGGAAATCTCGGGTTTTTGGGATTGACCCCTTTTTTATTTGATTTTTTATTGATTTGATTTGGTTTGGTTGAACTTGCTGACAGGTGGTCTTCGAATAGAGCTGATGATGGCGGCGTGGTTTCGGCAGTGGGCAGAAAGAACGGCGGCGGTAGCTGGAGATGATGAAAATGCTAGGGTTTCAAACCCTAAACTTAGTAGGCTTGAGCCTACTGATGGGCCTCGGTTTGAGCCAATTGGGCTTGCTGATTGGGTCTCATGTTATTG